TTTCATCCAAAAAAAAAATAAATAATTTACGAATAACAATTTTATATTTATAATAATCTATAAATAACAATTCATTTTTACAAGATCTATAATTGTGGAATCTATAAATAAAGGTTAGCTTTCAAATTTATTTTTTTATTCTTGTTGCGTCTTAGAGTATTCGCGGAGGTAGAAAAATATAAAGTTTAGCGTCTTAACATTGCACAAAGATCCAGCACGCAATCAGATAAGAGAGAGGGTATTGCATTCATATGAGACACCAGGATTTTTACGTGGAAAACCCCTAAAAAGTGGAAAAAATCGCAGGGTCTAGCTCAGTATGAATGAATCCACTAGTAGTTGCAATTGATTACAAATGAGACCCTTCCTTGGGAGAAGGTCTTAGCTCTATGTACATCATATAGAATACATTGCACGATATGAATACAAAGAAATACTATTGATGTATTTGTTTGGTCAGAAGGACCGTAGTCGGTGGGCGAAGTAAGAAGGAAGCACCGTAGTCGGCGGGCGACAGAGATCATAAAGATCGTTGTCTAACAACAAAGGTCAGAAGGACGACGACAAGTAGAAGTCCGATGTCAGTCGGCGACCGGGTGAAATTCTGACGGTGATCGATGAGGAATTTTGACGTCACATGGAGGACGGACGGAATTCCAGCGTCACATGGAGATCTGGTAGAGTTTCGACATCACTTGAAGGGAGGAACTCGAACGTCACTTGAAAGTCGGGCGGGAACTCCGGTGGTGGTCGAGGAGGAGCTTCTTCCCTCCATCTATTTTTCTCTTCTCTTCTTCTTCCTTCCCTTCTTTCTTGGATCCACTCTTAATAAAAATGAGGGGTTATTTATATTTTTTGAGAGTGACATGACCCGTAAATAGGAGAAGGATCAAGGTCAAAAGTGTAGTGGTTTGGATTGACGACCGATATTGAATCCCTTGATCGTGGACCATTCGTCATACATTTGAATGTCTTAATGATATCATAATTCGACGATCTTGGACTCATTGGATTCGTCTCGTCGAGCCGCTCGATTCAACTATAAGAATGTCATGTTTTGAAACTGTTTGGTAATCCAAATTGTGGTTTGAACCTTCCAACAACGCTTCGGGTCTTCGATTCAGACACATTTGGGCTCGGATTAAGTTGATTTGGTGTCGTTGGGTTCGTATTTCCGAGATGCTCAGTTCGACTATAAGTTTGTTGAAATTGGAGTTTAGATGATCCCATATTTAACTTTTGAAGCTTTTGGCCTGATTTTGCCTCGAGATTTGTGCCCGATCAAGATAATTTTTTAATGATATATCAATTCTTAATAGTAATTCCACTATATATTTAAATATGACTTCCCATCTTATAGTTTACATTAAACAAGAAAATAAAATTCAATTATATAAATTTTTTATTTTCGAGTCTCCTCACTTCTCATTTTAATTCTCAATAAACTATTGCAATCTATTATTTTAAACCATGCCATAAAATTTGAGGATTTCTAAATTTATAATTACTTCAGCTTTTTTTTTTAATGTAAATAATAAATATAAGAAATAAAACCCAAATTATAATATAATAATCAAATAAATTGAAAATTTTTGTGGTTAAAAATAACAACAGCTTTAATGGTTAAAAACAGCAATCCATGTATAAAATTACAATTCTATGTTATAGTTAATATTGGATTCCATAATTAAACATTAGTGATGAAGCTTGAAATTCTGCACTGTAGCATATGCTAAAGCTGAGTAAAAGGAATACAGCGAAGAGAAAAGTATAGCATGTAATTTTTTTGTAAACATTTTCACTGCATTCATTTTTGTGTCCTATACGTTGTATATATAAGTAAAGGCATGGGGTTGTCTTACACGTGTGTGGTTAGGATGCTTTGGTTTGCTATAGACTAAGGGTTGTGATTTATATCTCTAGGTAGTGCGTGCAGATTTGTCAGTGGTAGTATTGGATGGCTCTTTCACTCCCCTGCAAGCTGATGTTTTTGGAAGGATTGTTAGTTTGGATATGAGAAGCTGAAAACGTGGAGTAGACAGTGGTTTGGTAAGAACATCTGTTATTTTGTTCCTTTGTGCTGATGGGAACTATGAATTTTATATTTGATTGCATATAATCACGAATGAAGTGGTGATCAATCTCAATATGTTTGATTCTTATATGAAAAATAGAATTATTAGCAAGTGCTATAGCTGAAGTGTTGTCGCATACCACAATGAATTGTCCCTTTGATGTATTGAAGAAGTTTTTTCATGAGGTATGTGTGTTGGGCAAGAGGATGATGCATGTATTTGGTAGATGATATTGACAAGGTATGCCATGTCTGGGCAGGATAAGGTTAGGTATTATAGAGACCTTGTAAGTTGGTGATAGATGTGGGGATCTATGAGCAGAGGATCAATGGGAGGAGAAGTAGGAGATTTGGTAGGGGTTAGATTGGATAATGGATTGCAATTTAAGAGAGCTGCTCGAGTTAATATAGAGGTGGCATAGCACTGTTGAGATGGGAAATATGAGTTTTGGTGCTGTTGAATTTGAATGCCAAGAAAATTATGAGTATGACTAAGATGTGTCATAGTTAATCTGTGGCTGAGTCATTGAATTATAATGGAGATTGCTGGTGGATAATTCCTTGTTAATAGAATGTCATCCACGTATTTGAGTAAGTAGATTTGTTTTAAAATTTTGCCATTAAATGGTAGATGGCTTTTATAGTGGAAGAAAAAAAAAAATAAAAGAGAACACAGATCAAGAAAGATATCACCGTCAATCAAATCATTAGCAAATCAACCCCTGAAAAGAAGAATTTTCACTTAAATATACTCATGATTTTTTATGAAGAAAATGTCCTAATAAGGCCATTAAGCAAATAAAAGCAAAAATCATGAACGAATTCAAACAATATATCACACATTATTTTGGTAATTCAGAAGATGAGAAAATGTCCCAATCTACAAAACAAAACTTTGTAACAAGTGAAGACATGACAAAAAATTGGAAATAAGAGTGATTGGAGGTATGTGGAGGAGGTTGTGAACCAATGTCGTGGGGCTTGTTTGAGGTCATGTATAGCTTTACGGAGGAGACATACATGAGTTGGATATAAGGAGTCTTCGAAGTCTTTGGGTTGAGTCATGTATATGGTTCATTAAGATTGTCATGAAGGAATGCATTGGCAACATCTAGTTGTTGGATTGACCAGATTTTGTTCAGAGCAATTGTGAACAGAGCTAAGATGGTGGTGATATTTGCAATAGGGATAAATGTTTCAGTGTAGTCAAGTCCTTGTTCCTGGCAATGAGCAGGTTATTCGTGATTTTAGGTGGATGGAGAGAATAAAAAAAATTATTAAATGATTTTTAACGGGATTAGTAAAAATAAATTATTAAATTTAATAATATCTATTTTTTAAAACTCTAATATAATTCTAATCGAGTTTCTTAATGAGTTTGTTCACAAGCTTTAAACGACATTGTTCATGAATATAAACGAACCGAAAGCCAAGTTGTTCAAGCTCGTTTATTTAGCTATCGAGTATTTATCAAAAGTGTTCAAGTTTGTTCGTTTATCTTATCAAACGAACATGAACAAGCTCTTATCGAGCTAAGCCACAAGTAGCTCGTCGAACACTCGATTCATTTGCAGTCTTGCATCCATGCATTGTTAAAGTTAAGGCAATACAAGCCCAACTTATAAACCATAAGTCACTTCTTTCTCCATTGGATAAAGCTTACCTCCTTCTTTATAAGAACTATAAAGTAAGCCCCTTACATTTTTTGTAAGATAAAGATATCACCATTTGGGCAAACTATTTTTTTTTTTTTAGGGCGGACAAAACTTCAAATTTAGAGTGTGCCCATTTGCCCACCAAGGGCTCTATGGGGATCTGCGCATGCTAGTGTGGTGTAATTGTAAACATTAAAGTGATTTGAAATCAATATCTAATTGACATGTATGCACACATGTTAGAATATGTTGTATAAAATATAGCATATCTCATACTTGTTTTTATATAGTTAGTTTATATTACTACTCCATTCTTTTAATTGTTCATATTGCATGTATCATTCCTTTGTCGTTTATGCTTTGATAGATATGAATTATTTGTTGAGTTTGATTTATTAAACTCACATGCTATCTTTTACAACAGGTCCTGCATACGTGTTTGATGAACCATCACCTTAGGAGAAGGGTTACCAGTAGTAGACTATTTTTTTGATATTTATTATTTTGTTATAGTTTATTTTTTACTTTTGATTGAGGGTTGGGTAGTTTTTTTCCCATGTTTTTTGCTATATTTATATTTTTGTTAACTTGTATGAGAACAACTATTATTTGGATGTATTGATTTTTTTAAATTCTATTAATGAATTGATCTTTTATATATATATATATCCTATTGCATCTCTTTTTTTGGGACATTTAGGCTATTTAAGGCAAATTCACACACACAATGCATACAAAAAGACTCGAACCCAATACCTCTTAGTTGGAAAGGTGACCTGTGTCCTATTGCATCTCTTGTATATGCATGTTTTTTTTTGTGAATACAAAACATGTATTTCTATCATTTTATCGTGTCCTGCATTACCGAGATGTACCGCCTTTCAAACCCGAGATGTGACATGAAGCTCGGATGCAATGTGCATGTTGATTGAGGTGAGCTCAAGCCATACTAATTTGGGCTTTGATTTGATTAATGAGTGAATTTGAACTCGAGCTTAAGCTTATGCTCTATTTAATGAATTTGAATCAGTTCAAGAATCAACTTATTTTTTAAAGTAAGAAAAATAAAACTAATTCAAATATTTATTGTAATAGCTTGATAAAAATAGAAATTATATTAAAAATAATAATAATCACATATGACATGATTTAAAATATTTTTAATAATTAGTATTTAAATTGGAAAACTTAATACATTTTATATTAATATTAATTAAAGCAACTGACTGACTCAAATTTATTTCCTTGACATCAAATTTGGCTTACGAGCAAGTCCGACCTGCTCAAGTTGGGTTGCCTCGGTTACTCCTGCACGAAGCTACCAAAGGCGGCTCTTTCTCTAATAGAATCCCGAAATCTTCTTCGCGTCGCCGGAGAACAGCTAATAAGTGTGAACCTTAGGCTTAGAGGCTTGAATAAGAGAAATCATCGGAATAGTAGAATCATCATGTGGGTCGAAATTCTCTGTGGGCTGGTAGTATACAATATTTTCCGGCGATTCTTTTTTGGCGATGCTGAAGTCCCCGACGTCGACGCCGGAAGCTCCGATCTCTTTTTTGCGGTCGCCGACAGGTTCTTGAACCCTATTTCCCTTTTTGTCTCCGCCAGGTTGTGAAGCTAACTTCCTGAATTGAATAGGTTGGAGAAAATTTATGGCGGTAAAGCTTATGTCGGGCTCAGGATTCCCGATCCTGATACCAGTTCTCGGCAGCACATAGACGTTGTTCTGGTTAACAAGAGGTTGGTGCTTCTTGGTTTTGTAACGCCTCTATCCTTTTTATTTTAGTTTCGTGTGTGATCAAAGAAGGGATACTTCTGTCTCAGGGAAGTGATGGTGGTGGCGGTTAGAAACTTTTCTGGGTTTGTGGTCGTCGGAGATGGTGGAAATTGGGTTTGCACTAAAGACAAGAAGCATAAGCCTGAGACTTTTCCCGATCCGGTGAGGTTTCCATGTAATGGAATGCGTTATCTCGGGATTTCGAAATCTTTGCTCTTTTCAGCATGACTATGGGTTCATTTTGATAGATTTTTGTTGATGCCGCAGAATGGTTTGGATTTATATCAAGTATTTTGTTTTTCCAAGGCTGATAAAGAGTGAAAATTGATTGGTTTCAGTTAGTAAATCCATACTTATCTGTTCACCCTCTTTGTTCATTTCGATTCATGCCTTGATTTTGTTGATTTATCTGCTCCGTGGTTTCCTGGATTATGTTCGTTTATCTGCCTTGGGTTTTTTATTTGGTAACTTGTTGAAACTTTTTTGTTGTTTGATGGCTATATATTCATGATATAATGCTACTGCTGTCAATGTCCTTTCTGAAAATCAAATGCCATAACAGTATCGTTAGGGCTTGCTAGCGCTCATTGATAATGGAGTTGATATGAAGTCTGCAATTTTTCTCGCGGGACTTGAATTGTTCATGCTTCGGGAAAAAAGAAGAAGAAGAATTGAATTGTTAGACAGCACGAATACAATCAGTTTTCCTTATATTGTCATCTTATTCATATTTCTAGAAAGAAGTTTTGTTTAATTTAAAAAATCTTCCTACTCAGTCATATTTCTAGAAAGACGCTTTTTTACTTGTTATTCCCAAACTAATTGCTTAAGAAATGTCGGTATTAATATGACGGAGATGAAGTTGGTTTATCATCAAATGGATTTTCTTGGCATCACTGGATAGCCTCAACATGTCATTGAATGTATTTGAATCATGGTTCTTCTGATTTTGAGTTTCATTTCTTTAGATAGGATGGTGAAATGTCTGGCAGCAATTTAGGCTTCGTTTGGGATAACTTTTTTACTGCTTCTTAAAGTAGCTTTTTAGTTAAAAAATTTAAAATTTTCTACTAAAAAGCTGTTTAAGAAGTAGTAAAAAAGCTATCACAAACGAAGCCTTAATCTTTTATAGAAGTGAACTTGATGATAAATGGATTCTGTATCTCATTGCTTTGCATTTCTATCATTCTCTTATCATCATGATGCAATTTTGGCTGCATTCATCATTTCATGTTGTTGGTAAGAGCAGGTTTTTATGTGCCAAAGTGTAATGCCAGGTTTTGGAAACTGCAAGACAAGTTGAAATTCTTCAGTCGTATTTGGAGTTGCGGGGAGTATCTTTACCTAAAGGGAGTTTGATTGGCAAAGTTATTCTCCCAAATCCAAACTGCAGGTAAAATTAGCAAGCCAATCTGGTATTTTTCACCAGAAATGAGGTTCCTCTCATACATTAAGCATTATCATATATTTTTTATTGCTGAACTCTGCTGTATTTTTTAGATTTTCTTGGACAACGAAGTAACAACTGACAACCCAATATTTTTAAGATTTACAATACACATTATCTGTTGTGACGTGCTAAAAACATTTTTTACCCAAGTTCTGAGACAATATTTTGCCTCACATTTCATGTTTTCAAAAGCTGAAGAGCTCAAGCTTTTTGCTCCTGCCTCATTTTTTGGAAATTTTACTTGGTCCGGTAACCTGACGTAGCTCTACATTCGGTGAGCAGTAAACAGGCGCCACGTGTTCTCACTATTTACCGCGCGGCCCGACAACCCGACCCGGAACGGACCCGAGAGTTTGCGTATTGCTCGGTATTGCTAGGTATTGGTCGATTTTGCTCGACAAAAAATGAAAATTACCATTATGTGAAGACCAATACCTAGCAATAATGAGCAATACCGAGTCCTTTTAGGTATTACTCGGTATTGGTCTTCACAGAGCGGTATTTCTTGTTATTGCCAAGCAATACCTAGCAATATCGAGTAATACCTAGCAATACCGAGCAATACGCGAACATAGTAATCCCGGATTTTGGTCCGAGTCGGGTCGTCGGGCCGCGCGGCAAAGAGTAAGAGCACGTGGCGACATATTATTGGCTACCGGACGTAGAGCTACATCAGGTTACCTGACCTAATAAATTTTCCATTTTTTGGCTTTGAAGATTAATCTGCTTCCAACGGATCAATGTTATACAAGTAGAATGTTAGTTTGATTCTCAATCTTTTAAATCTAATGTAGATGGAACTTGAGCCATTTTTCCTTTAAAGAAATTCTTATTCCTTATTTACCACACTTGCATTGCTTTTACAATCAATGCCTTCTACTCACTACACTTGCAGGCATAATAGGTTCTATTTTTCTACTTTCCATACTTGTAATGGCTCTGGAATATGGAAAAAACTATAATAGAATGGATTATATTGACCACACTTTACATATGCCAGCCTTCTTCGTCTCGTCAAAAGTTTTTGTTATTTTGTTTAACATGTGTTGGTATTTTTGTATATTGACCTCAATTCAATAAAACTCATCTTGAGTTCTTTTTTCTTTTAAATTATCCAGGCCAGCTTATTCTATTACTTTTCAGCCCGAGGTTGTTTCTTTTGACAAGTGGGTGGGGTTGAAATCAGAAGAAAAACTTGGGATTTCTTCTTGGATCAAAGATGTTTTCCGTGGGAGCAAAGGTAAAGGACAGGACGACTGGTACCAAAAGCTTCACTTTGTTCTTAACACAGCTCCTATGTGGGACAGGTATTAGATCTAAATGTATCTTTTTATTTTGAGGATGTATAAAACGAAGCATCTTCTGTGAAGTTTTATAAAAGTTGCATAATTAGTTATGGCTGTATTTGCGATTTTAAGCCTTCGTGGATAATATGTTTAGCAGTTGTTTTCTTAGCTTTTGTTTGTTTGGCCTTCACTTAAAAACTAAGGAATTGTTGTAAACTTTGTTGCATGCCTAATGTTCCTCAGAAGTTTTAATCTTTGGCAATTACTTTTTGTTAAGTTCTTTATGTCATGAAACTATAGCAAGTAAAAAGATAATAGACAAGGTTGAAATGATGATTGGTAGTTATCATTTGTTATTGCCTTGTGGGTGCTCCTGATTTTGTTCAAATTTGACACAATTGAAATTCTATTCGTAGGAAATCAAAGAACAGTTGCTTGCTGATTATGTTGTTCAACATTCTTTTTTATTTCTTCAAATTTATTCAATCAATACAATATTATCATTTGGGTTCTATTTTTAGCATTTGCTTTTTTTATTTAAAGAAAGAAAGTTGTAAAATTATTTAGTGGTTTGTGATGTACAAAATTTCAAGTCCCCTTACATGATTTCATACAACACATCATAATAGTTGCATTACAGAATGCCAACTCCGAGCCATCCTACATTAAATTAGTATAAGAACTTATTGTTGCATCATCATATCTACTAAATATATGATGTATTAATTGGGTCAGTAAAGAGATATACTTAATGATATATAAATGAAATTAAGTAGATTATCATCCTATACAACTTTTTTTTAAAAAAATTTGAGGTTCAAAATTACATTCTTACATTTAATGGGAGACATATTCTTAAAAAAGTCTTAAATAAATCAATAATTTGATTTTTTTTTTTTGAAATATAGAATTTGATTCTCAAAAGGTTGAAGAAGTCAAATGAAAATAAGTGGGACATGCTGAATCATTTTGTTAAGTTGTTTCTTCATTTTTCTTTTTTTATTCTTTTTTTTTTTAATTTTTTTTTTTAAATTTTGTTAAGTTGTTTCTTCATTAAAGGTCTTGAGCAAGAAATTAGGGATGAACAAAGCTTCAATTCGCTAAAATTTTCTTACGAGGCTGCATACATAATTTTTTATATTGAGGAATATTACAACTGCTTTCTTATTTTGACTTCTTTACCTTCGCCAATTCCAAAAGAAAACTTAGCAGCAACTCATCTAAAGCCTATGAAAAAACATTAATGCAAGAATATGATTGAAATTGATCGAGTAAAAAAAAATTGTAGTTCATGAATATTTTTTCAATGATATTTTAGATGTAAAAAATGATTTGCAATTATAATATGAATTTACATCTGATGATTTTGAATCTAAATTTACACAGATATTATTACGTAGACTTGGAGATTGAGTCTATATTTGGACAATGGCTAGAATTGGAGTTTGAAAGCAATATTGCTGGTTTCTAATGTTGTTTGATTCTACATTTGAATTTGAAATTGAACCAATTATATATATTATAGTTGATAAATCAAATGTGCAATCTAAAATATAACTCTTAATGAATTATCTCTTGATATTATTCCTTTTTTTCCTATTATGAATGATCAAATTAATGTTGTTTTTTCCTTGATTCTTGGTTTAGAGGCACCAGGAATATAAATTCGTAGAATAAATCTCATGATGAGAGATAAGAAGTGTCAATATTTCAAGATTTTTATTTGATTATTATATTAGCATTTGGATTCTATTTCTTGTAGTTGTTGCTTATATTTAAGGGTTGTTTCGTTGCAAGTATTTGTAATGTATAGTAAACCAAATGTTAGGGTTTTGAATTTTTGGGTGTTTGATTGTACGGAAAGCAAATGCAGATTAATCTTTTGAGGTATTTCAAATTCCTTACCTAATTCATTTTTAATGTTTTTAAAATTGGTTTAACTTGAGTGAATTCCAAATACATTGAAAATGTGAAGCTTCACCTGTCGTCGCTACCACTCGCCGAAGCCAACTGTTGTCTGTCATTTGTCGTCACAGGCACCACTGTCACAGCTGCCTCTATGCTCTATCACCATCGATTAGCACCACTATTGTTGCCACCAGCCACCATTGCCAACTGCTGCCTAACATCGCCACCTTTGGCTGTCACCTCTAATCACCACGGTTGATGCCAACAACCGTTAATGCCGCCATTGCAAATGCCATTGGCAGCCATCACTTTTGCCTCCATTGAATACCATCTTTGTTGGTCACCGACCATTGCCATCACCACCACTATCGGTTGACTCTACCATTAGTTGCTATTGTTGGCTTTTATGCCCACTGTCATATTTTAAATATTAATTTACTTTGCAAGTAACAAAACATAAAAAAAAATAAACTCTTATTTTATAAGAAACCAAATTCCGACAAAGATTTTCAAATACATGATTTTACTTTACATAATATTTTGAATAAATTGGATTTCCAAATGCTTGCATCTTAAGGACCCCTTAAAGAAAGGAGGTTGTTGAAGCATTTAGTGATTTGTGATTTGCAAATCCTCAACTTTCCAGACATGATTTCATACAACACATCATAGTTGCTTCTTGAAAATTTCAATGAGAGAGGATAGTACAAATGAAAAATAGTCTGATTAAATTTTATTCCGTATTTTATATAATTAAAATAAGACGAGAAACTATACATGACTGGATTGGGAAACCACTATCAAGGAAGAAATAAATTTTAAACCAATTTTTAATTATGAAATCAACAATTCAGTACTCAATAAAAATAGAATGTTGTCTATAGATTGCTGGATTGTTGTAGATAAAACACTATTGCCAAATTTCTTCAAATCAATTTAATTATTATATTATCATCAGGGATTTAATTTTTGTATTTGTTGTTTACATTCAAATAAAGCAAGTTATTGAAGTATTTCGTCATTTGTGATTTGCAAATCTTGAATTTCCTGGCATGATTTTACATGATACATCATAATAGTTTCTAGAAAATTAGAATGAGAAGAGATGATAGTAGAAAATTATTAAAAATTGTCTGACTTAATTTTATTTCCTTATTCTTTGTAAGAAATAAGATGATAAGTTATACATTAATAGGCAGAAAAATAACTATGGAAAAATTTGGAAGCTAATGTTTAATTATGGAATTCACAATTAACTCAGAACATAAATGGAATGTTGTCCATAGATTGTTGGAGATAAAAAGCTGTTGTCATTTTAATCCACAAATTTCTTCAATTTATTTGATTATATTATCATTTGGGTTTTATTTCTTATATTTGTTGTTTACATTCAAAAAAAGCAAGTTGAAAGTATTTAGTGATTTTTGATTTACAAGTCCTCAAGTTCCTAGCTGATTTCATACAACACATCATAATAGTCTCTTGACTTTTTCCGTGTAAAAAATAAGATGAGAAACAATATAGAAATAGGTAGAGAAATAACTATCAATGAAAGAAATAAATTTGAAAGCCAATATTGAATTATGGAATCTAGAATTAACTACTCATAAAAATGAAATGTTGTCCACGTATTCCTGAATTTTGAATATAAAAAGTTATAGTCATTTTTAACCATAAATTTCTTCAATTTTTTATTATTATTATATTATCATTTGAGTTTTATTTCCTATATTGTTGTTTACATTCAAAAAAAGGAAAATTGTAAGTAATTAATGATTTGCAATTTACAAGTCCTCAAGTTTCTGTCATGATTTCATACAACTAGGGGTGTAACCGAGTCAAGCTGACTCGTGAGCCGGCTCGAACTCGACTCGTTAACGAGCTCGCGAGCCGAGCTTATCGAGCTTCGAGCTCGAGCTGGAGCCTATAATCGAGCTCGAATGATAAACGAGCTCAGCCCGACTCGACTCGAAAGCTTATCAAGCTACTCGATTATATTATTTATAATATTATAATTTTTAGAATATTAAAAATCATATAATATGTTATAACTTATATGATAAAAAAACCCTAGCCCGCTGCCCGCCGCACATCTATTCATTTCGCCCTAACTACACGCGACGCGTCGTGCGGCCTCTTCTCCCTCGGTCGACCGAACAGGTGCCGACAGCCGAGTCCGCCGGATCTCCGTCGTCCTCACATCTATTTATTTCTTATACAATTATTTTTTTTTAAGAAGTTAAAAGTTAAAGTTGTGTTAGAAATAAATTTCTTCATTATATATTTATATCGTTTACATTATATATTTATTTCTTCATAATTTAAAATAAATTTTAATTAACTGTCATAAAAAAAACTTCAAATTTAAAATAAATTTTATTAACTGTCATAAAAAAATTTAAAAAAACTTAAAATTTTGATTGAGGCTCGAGCTTTCGGGATTGTTTTGAGGCTCGGAGTTTTTTCGGAGGTCCGAATTCTCGAAGCTTGGTATTTTTAAAACGAGTCGAGCTCGAGCTTATTAATCGGCTCGAGCTTCAGAGCTCATGGAGAGTTAAACGAGCCAGGCTTGATAAAGCCAGCATCTCGACTCGACTCGACTCGTTTACACCCCTACATACAACACATCCTGAGAAATTTAAAATGAGAAGAAATGTATAACTGAATTTTAGTCTCTTGTTCAGTGTAAAATATAAGATGTGAGTTGTATTTAAAAATGTAAAGAAGCAACTATTCAACAACAACAACATCAAGCCTTTATCCCACTACGTGGGTTGCTACATGAATCCTTTTTCCCCATTGTGTCCTATTTAAAAGTCAAATTCTCATTAAATCTAAAAAGAAAGGTCATTTATAAATATTTCTAAACCAAGTCTTTTTAAGTCTACCCAACCTTTCTTAACATAAGTCAAATCTAATACCTCTACCTCTCACTAACGGGTCATCGGAAGGCCGCCCGTTTATATGGACCAAACCATTTAAGGAGACTCTCTCTAATCTTATCTTCTACTGAGCTACCCCAACCTTTTCACGTATATGCTCATTCGTATCTTATCTCTAATGGTAAAGCCACTCATCCACCTCGAGCACTCCCATCTCTTCCACACTTAACT